TATCTCTCTCTCTCTCTCTCTCTCTCTCTCTCTCTCTCTCTCTCTCTCTGTGTCTCTCCACACATAGAATCATCACAAAACTGATGGTTATCACTTGGAATCTACATAGCCTTGTGATAGCCAAACTATACTTTTTCTCATCAAACCAAACGAAGTTGTGGAATTGATGAGCAAATCATGTTGTCGGATGAATACATACAAAATCTTAGTCCTGTACTTTACTTTGTTTGATGAGTATATTAAATATCGTAGAACACATTATTTTTCATATTTCTATGACTTTTCAAGCATAAGTTGAAACCTTCATGAATAATTTTATGTCCCTCGTCAACCTAGAAAGATTCTAGCCGAATTGAAAGACATGTTGTAGCTAAATATTTATTTTCCGGGACAACCATTATCGTCTTACCGACTAAACTAGTTAACATCTTTTAAATTAATTTGATGAGATTTTGAACTTACGATCTTAATTTATTTAATATTAAAAATATTAAAATAATTAATTAGAAACCCATATGACCTAAACCTTGATTTCCAAGGATGCACAGAACCAAATAGGAGGAGGCAGGTCAGTGAAAGAACAAACAAGTTTTGTTGGCTTTTGATGCCTGAAGAATCTGCAGATCTCTGGATGTCAGTGAGGCAGCCAGCATAGCATGCATCCCAAAAGCAACTTTTCATAGCGTTTGCATTGTGGAAAGTTTCCATGGGTTGCATTTGAACACATATACATCAAGGACAATCCAATGTTTGGATCACATAAACCATAAAGCATCATACCAGTTTCTCATTGTTGGTCTTTATCTGAAACAATCATATATCTAACAATCATATACTAAATATAAAAGAGGCTGTAGAAACATGATTTCCACTGAAGGTTCATTTCTTTATTTTTAGTGTCCCAAAGTCTTTCTCCTCCTAGTTGGACACTCAAAAACAGTAAAAGTAGGCTCTTCTATGTCACACAGCTTGACAAGGCTCTTTTTATTTGTTTTTCTATCTTGTGGGCATGTCTTGCCTATATTAGGAAATGAACCAGAGCTACACTTGCAGAAGTCCCCAGGGGGGAACTCAGGTTAAAACCAAGCTAAAGGACAAGTGAAACTACTGTCTGCTTATGGGCTGCAACATTTTTGTGAACAAGGGTGGGGATTTCAAAGGCACACACATTTGCATGGACCAAAACATGTAGCTTCAAATCCAAACATATGAAACATCAAAGGAAAAGAAGAAGAAGAAGAAGAAGAAGAAGAAGAAGGAGGAGGAGAAAATACTGCTTTTCAGGTACCTGAAAGGAAGATAGTTGCCTCAAAAATAAACGAATACAAGAAGATTTAGTTTCCATCTAAAGTTGTTTGCAACCAGAAAAAGTGAATGAATCCTAACATCAAAGAAGAAGAAGAAGATTGAATGCAAGAAGATTTAGTTGCCTAAAGTTGTTTGCAGCCAGAAAAAAAGTGATTGAATGTTTTTATCTCTGGTAAAACATGCCTTGTATACGACCGCTTCTAAAAAGTTGGACAGTGTTACCTGCAAACTATGGAGTGACTTGTCTATATCCAGTTGTCCATCCTCCACTTGGTTGAAAAGCATCACACCACAAGTCAGGAAACATGAAGCAGTATACAATCGAAGGGTTTGCAAAAGGTTGTGTTCTAGGATGAGTTGAAGAAATGTGTTAGGAGTTGATGCATCAAAAGGCTCTCCACTCAATGCAGTGTAGTTTATCTCATGACTCTCTCACACAGTATATTGTTATTGGTAAACCTGTTCATGTCAGTTTGGTCTGCTGTTGGTGTAAGCATTAGAGTAAGGGCATTAACATTTGTCTAATGGAGTGCTGCCTTGTTGATCATGTAAAAGAACCTTAGTTTACATCACTCTATGTCTTGTTCCATGATATGGGGGGACTGCTAAGCACCACTTTAGATGTTTTGACTACCCTCGTATGGCATATGCAGATCATTCTAAAACAGATGTTGTAATATCATGTCAAAAACATGCACTTCAATTCAGTAAGCTCCTCAAGAACAACAATAATGTATTGATATTCGCAAGCAAACCCTATTTCTTCCATAAGTTTATTAGCTCACTTACTGCGTTCTCCCTCACTTGGCAAACACACAAGTAATTAGTAGTCACACCAGCACAAATATAGAGTTCACTTATGATAAGAGAAAACAACTCAAGAATAAGGAAGGAAACAAACGCTCAGCTGCGGATAAGGCCACAAGACAAAGCCATCAACAGTATCGCTGCGTCTCTCTCTTCCTGCGGGAACACCTTCTGGATCGCTGTGTTCTTGTTGGAGCTTAATTGAACATCATCGAAGCAAAGCTTCTTGGCGGTCGCACTGGAAGCGTCAACCTTGCACCGTTTCTTGAATGGGAGAGTTCGATCGATATCCAACTTTTTCTCTTTTCTCACTTTGGCCGGAGCAGTGGCGGGGATCAATCCGCCGTTCAGAGCCGCTGCGGCTGCCATGGCACGCCTCGCCTTCCTTTGCCGTATTCCACATGCGTTACAGAGCGACTGCACCATCATATGGTGGATCAGCAGTGTGAAGAACTGAAGACATGGTCATATACTTCTGTAGATAGAGCTGTAGGCCATTGTTCACGGATTAAGAGGTACTTGCCTTGGGGCCGCGAGGCCCACTCCTCCACAGAGGAGTCTTGGTTGTGTTGCAGTCGCTGCAGATTCTGATGATACCATTTCCGTTGCTTTGATTGCCTGTACCGAACCCTTGGCTTCTTTGGCTTTGGTCTTCAGAGAGTAGCATGCTTCCTCTCGGTTTGCTCACCACGAAGTGAGTGGAATTCATCATCTTCCTCATAAACCGCATCTTGGAGGACATCCATTTACCGGGCCTATCCGCTTCTTCTTCTTCTTCTTCTTCTTCGTCTTCTCCTTCTTCTTCCGTGATATTGTCCAGATCGCAAAGAGAGAGTTTGAGAGCATCGTCGTCGTCGGCGTCGGCAGGATGCTGTGTCATGCGATCGCTCGATCCCGCTCTCAGGAACAGCTCCCTGGCCTACAACCAAGAACCGATGCTATATGATCATGGACTACTAAAGATCCGGTTGCAATGCAACTGGTCGCATCGCATAGTCCTTCCTGGTGCAAAACTAGTTCCCTACCTCCTGCAGTGGCTGCTGGACGTGACGGCCCGTGCAATAATCTGCTCCTTGATCATGGCGGCTGCTGAAGAGATCGGAACACGAGAAGGAAGAAGCACGATCTGCTAGGGCGGAGGTAGGGAGGTGACCTAGATCTCTGTCCCCCTCTTCCGAGGGGACAACACATGCCTGGTTCAGATCGAAGGGAGTCATGGAGAGAAAGGAGGGAGGTGTAGTCCTTCCAGGAAGAGAGCGTACTAGGAGGAGTGGGATATTGGAGATGAGAGAAGGCAGTGGGGGAGGGCTAGAGACCAACCATGAGCTATCATAGAGAAACAAGGATCGGAAAAATCAGCGTGGGAAGGGGTAAAACTCCCTTTTATAAGGTAAACAAGAACAATGACTAGGAATCTGATCAAAGGCATTCACGTGACTCCCCCAACTCCTCCATCACCAGAGATGCCAAGAATCAAATGAGGGAAATGTTACATGGAAAATACAAAATAATGGGAACCACTGAAGACCACGTCGCAACAGTGTATA